TTCTTTCTTTCTTTCTTTCTTTCTTTCTTTCTTTCTTTCTTTCTTTCCTTCTTTCTTTCTTTCTTTCTTCCTTCCTTTCTTTTCTTTCTTCTGCCATATCACACAGCAGAGATAATGGGATAAAGAAGAGAGACAATGATATCCTGCTGATCAATGCAATGATCAATCGTCATCACTGATGATGAATGTTACCCACCTCCTGACAGAAGAGTGATGGACTAATATGCAGATATAATAATAATATCATATCATATCATATCTAAACTAATATAAAACATAATTTTTAACCACGGTGTATATATATATATACATACATACATACATATTTTGCTGGACTATGTTTAAAAGTTTTTGTTAATTTTTTTCTTTTTTTCAGTGGGGGGAGATGAAAAGAAGAAAAACAAATGCTTGATAATTTTTTTAAAATACCATAAGTTATAGACAAATTGCTAATCTGCTGTGGTGGAGACAGTAAACTCTTCTGTTGAGGATACTGTTACCTGATGAAATTACAGTTTTGTAAAAAAAAAAAAGTCATACTTTTGTTCGAAATTCACTAAAACTCCTGGAACTTTTTCAGATAAACTGTTGCCTAATTTGCCTCTACCATTTTGTCCTTAGGAATTCAGTCTAAGTGAATCTTAATTTTACTTTATACTATTTATTACCTCTTAAAATCTCATCTTATTAGATGGAGACTAATGGTCTGGAGGGCAGCTAGGTAGCACAGTGGATAGAGTTCCAGGCAAGATTCAGGAAGATTCATCTTCCTGTAATTCAAATCTGGCCTCAGACGCTTACCAGCTGTGTAACCCTGGGCAAGTCACTTAAACCTGTTCGCCTTAGTATCCTCATCTGTAAAATTAGCTGGAGAAGGAAATGACAAACCACTCCAGTATCTTTGCCAAGAAAACCCCAAATGGGGTCACAGAGAGTTGACACAACTAAACAACAATGTCATGGATTCTATCATTGTTGTCGTAGAGTGAAATATACCCTCACTATATTCTTTTTTTTTCTATTGATAAACTAAAACCAGGATTAGTCCTTGAGAATGTGAGCTGTATTTGTCTTTCTTAAATTCAAAACTGATGGTTATATATACATTCTTTCCAAAGTATAATTCAGAACATTTATATACAATATTTTATCCATCTCTTCTATAAGAATCAGAAAATTATTGAAGAAACAATTGTTAACGGAAAGATAGATCCCCACTGAATTAATAACTTCTGTTGAATATATAACTTCCATCACTATGCAGAAATTATAGAGGTTAAAAACCTAGGTTTTTGTTATTCCTGAGCACAGGTTTTGGGATTCAGAAAAATAGCCCTGAACTCTTATTGGGATTTAAATCAAGGTTCTTATAGAGAAAATTATGGCAGAGAGACAGAAATATTTTTTTTTAACATCTAATAATCTTTATGACATCTCAGGTCATAAGGATCACACAGACCTAGTCAAATAGAATCATTATCTTATGCTTCCTTCAGTGTCATTAAAGTTAAACAAACTGAGTTGGACTGATTTGATAAACAAAATAAGTTACAGATTTAAACATTAGCTCTCAGAGTTTCAGTTATCATCTGCAGGTTAATGATTCTCAGATCTATTTATCCAACATTAACCTTTCTCTGGCTTCTAGTCTCAAGTCTCCAAATGCTTATTAGACATCTTGAACTGGATGTCCCATAGACATCTTGCACTCAACATGTCCAAAATTGAACTCATTATCTTTTCCTCAAAACCATTTCTTCTTCCTAACTTCCCTATTACTGTGGAAGGCATCACCATCCTCAGTCACCCAGGCTCAGAAGCTAACCATTATCCTCATTCTTTCTTACCCCCTATATCTAATCATTTGTCAAGTTCTGTCAATTCTTCCTTTGTAAGGTCTTTGGTACATGGCTTCATCTCCTCACTATTGCAATAGCCTACCTGTCGGTTTTCAGTCCATCCTCTACTCAGTTGTCAAATTAATCATTAAGCACAGTCTGACCGAGTTATCTCCTTTCTCCTCTTCAATGAACTCCAATGGCTCCCTATTACATCCAGAAACAAATATGAAATCCTTTGTTTGACTTTTATAAATCCCTTTATAACTTAGCCCCTTCCTATATTTCCATCATCT